CGTTTCCATTAAAATATCAGTTTCATTCTGTGTGATTTCAGTATTTTTAAGTATCTCAAATTCAATTCTTTCACCTTAAAAAAAACCAAAATCCTAATACTAAAAAGGATCAAAAGGGAAATAGTAACAAAAAATTACTTATTTACAACAACAACTCAAGGCTTGTTTCAAATCTTGAAATAGCACCTGTAAGAACAGCCAAAAAAAATATGATAATGTTTTTAAAAGATTTTTTTGGATGGGATGTTGATAAATTGGGGATGTACTATGAAATGAAAATAGCCTCAAAATTATTACCAGGATCTCGTTTGTTAAATTTACCTTGTATTAATATCTGTGATCCTGAAGAAGAAGTTGACAGGAGAAAAAAAACTATCACAGATAAATTAATAGATAATATTAGGAATATATTTTTTGGTGATGTTTCCCATGTTGATGATTTTGGAACATTTTTTAAAGAAATTCAAATAGAAGAAATCGAAGGTGAAACTGAAGAAAAAACAATTAAAATCGGTAAACCGAAATATACAAAAGATAATTTTGCTTTAAGACCTTTAGTCAAATGGAATAGATTTGGTCAAACAACCAATGATGAAAAAGCTCCTAAAGCTCCTAGAATGAAATTGAGAGGGATATATTCAGAATTTGGCTTTAGAATTGTGTTGAATGCAGCTAGTAAAGATTATGGCAAGTTTAAAGTTTACAAACCACCAGAACCTTTTATCATAACTTTAATATTCTTAGCTTGTAAAGATAGTGAATTTTGGAAAAATAAGGATATTGGTAAAATGTATGATTTTTTTAAACCTGGTGTTACTAGATTTGATAATACAGATAATGATATACAAAGTAGAATAAATGATAAATGGAAAGTTATAAACTCTGTAGATAGACCAATCGATATCAATACAAAAACCAAAGAAGTTCAGAATTTCTGTATTTGTGAACCATATGAATATACTTTTAAAATACCAATATATACGGACCATGACAGATCATAAGAACCTAGAAAAGATCCTGGAATGCCATTTTGTTTACCTGGAAAACCTACCTCAGATGGAATCCTTTCATTTGGTTGTGATAAACAAAAAGATGGATTTAGTCCAAATATCGCATGGATAGTAACAGTAACTGTGGATCCTTTAGCCTTACAAGAAAAAATTGATAATACACTCTTGGCTAACGCGACCACAAACAAAGATAAACCAATCAATTTAGAAGATGCATTATTTTTTGGAATAGATCAAAGTAAAACTGTTTTTTTACCAGGATTATTTTTAATCGTTGAATATGGTATTGCTTTATTTGGGTATGATACCGATATAGATAACCTACAAAATCTCAGATTAACTGGTAGTGCTGTATTACAACAACTTATCGATGCTATAAAAGCAAATAACCCTATTCCTTCTCAACCTAATGAATCTGTTCCAACACCCACACCAACCGAAATAATAATTTAAAATGAATATTTTATTTAGCTATAACACAATTTATGATTATTATACAAACAAGATCAAAGAAAAGGAAAAGCTTGTAGATTTGAAACCGGGTAGCCATCTTTATAATTTGATACATGGGGATATATGTTTAAACAAGTATATGGTCTCAGATTTAGATGAGGAAATTCGTGTTCGTGGATTAATATTAATTCAAAAATTTAAAGAAAAAATTTATATTAAAAAAGATTACAATCAGGTCTTGAAATATATTGACGTGTTAAAAAATGTTGATAATTTTTTTATCAAAGATGAAAAAAACTACATTAACGAACTTGAAGAGTTAAAACTAAAAATTAAAATTAAAATTAACAAACAGATCGATTTAAAAAATAATCAATCAATTATCATTTTTAAAAAAAGAAATAATAATATTCAATTTAAACCGATTTATTTTCTGTCCTTTGTAAATAATAATAAAATCATTAACATAATCATGAAAAGATATTTGAAAAATGTAGACAATAAAGATAATATTCACGAAATCAAATCTAGAATAGTGAATAGATTAAAACACTATAAAGAATTTTATAATAAACCTTGGAATTTACTTATAAATAATGGATTTCATAAAAAAAAAAACAAAAAATTTTACATAGAAATTAAAATTTACAATAAGAAAATATTTTTAGAATTAGTCGATTTATTATTAAATGTGGTTAGAGATGATGATTTAACATTTTTCAATCTGATTCATTATAAAATTAGTGAAATCTTTAATAATTTAGAAATTTAAAAAAAAAATAAATAAATTTTTTTTATTATATTTTTATTTTTTGTCAAAAACACTTTTTCACAATATTTTCAATATTTTTATTATGATGATGATGTTTATGAATGTAATCCACCAATCGATCTATTAAATCCTGATACAAAATCACCTTTTTCATATTCACGGAAAGAAATTAAAGATTATATGAATTCTTTAAAACCACCAGATAATGGTTGGGAATATTTTTACCTGTTTGTAAAAGATCCATTGAAAGATTTGAAAGATTCTTCTCCTTCTTCTTCAAATAAACAAGAGAACAAAATTTATTTTTATGATGATGAAGGAAATAAAATCATGTTTGATTTGGATAATCTTGATATTAATCCTAAGCTTAATTGAATCATCTTATCCTTATTGTATCAAATGTGTTACACATGATGACGGTGTCAAATACTGTTTGGTTAACGAGTTATGAGAATGTGAATATTATGAACATCCGAGTGATAGATATTTATTTAACAGATTTTTTAACGTGTTATGGGATACCATGTTTAAATATAAACAAATAGATTATGATAAATATTATAAAACTATTGAGGATTATGCGGAAAAGGTTAGACAAAAAATTTACGAGAAAAAAAAGAAAAACCTATCAAAACTGAATTTCCAGGAATTTTTTAAATTATTTCAAGAAGAAATTAAAAATAAAGATATTTTGGATTTTTGTAAAGGTGAAAGAATTGAATTTGAGATACTTAAAAATACTGAAATCACACAGAATGAAACTGATATTTTAATGGAAACG